TGGGGATCACATCCAGGAACTCGTATGTTAGGCAAGCACCTTACCACTGAATGAGTATCCCCAGCTACTTAGATCATTATTTTGTTCGTGGGTTTTTTGGTCGTACTGGGGATTGAACCCAGGGTGTTCACACACTGAACTATGTCCCCAGCCTTTTTATTTTTTTAAGATATAGGGTCTTGCAAAGTTGCCCAATGTGGGCTCAAACTTGAGATCCTTCTACCTCAGCTTCCCAGGGTGCTGGGATTCCAGGCTTGCATTATAATGTGCAGCTTTGTCTTATTTATTTGGTGGTACCAGGGATTGAACTCAGGACCTTGTGCTTGCCAGGCAAGCGATTATTCTACTGAGCTATTTTCCCGGCCCCCTAGATCACTTTTTAAAGCAATTTTAAGCTAAGCATAGTGGTACACACTTATAATCTTAGTAGTCTCGGAGACTAAGGCAGGAGGATTTCAGTTTTGAGCCCAGTCTGGGCAGGTTAGGATTTTACCAAGACCCTGTCTCAAAAAAATAGAGTTAGGGAAGTAGCTTAGTGTAACAGTGCTCCTAGGTTCTCCACCACTCAACCCCACAAGACTAACCTATTTCAGAGTGTTCATAAGATAAACCTGTTTTCTGTGCACTTTTGAGTTTTATCTAAGCACTTTGTAGTAGCGCTTTCTCTAAGCACTACTACAAATACATATTTTATTTATTTAGTTTATTTACTTATTTATTTTTTTGTGGAACCGGGGATTGAACTCAGGCCCTTGCGCTTGCCAGGGAAGCGCTTGTTCCACTGAGCCATCTCCCCGGCCCAAAAAAATACATATTTTAAAGAGGAAAAAAATCCCACAGAATTTCAGAACAAGATAATAGAAGATTACCAATGATTAGTATGTAGTAGCTCTTTTTTTTTTTGTTCCGAATGCCCTCAGGGCTGGTTTGGCTGGCTGGAGTGTTGTAGGGATCCAACTACAGCAACCTGAGGCTGACAGCTTTGTGGAAGCAGCCATTTAAAGAACTGAGCTAGGGCCAGGCCCCCTATAGTAGCTCTTGATGTAGGCAAGAATGAAAAGAAAAGCTTACCTAAGTTAAGCTTCTCCCCTTAGCAGCTCAGAAAAAGGTTGGAATGTGGGCTACGGTAGTATGTAGCAAAATAATGTGCAAATTTGGTTTCAGGAACTTACCCATTGTTTTCTCCTTGCTTTACCAATTTCATAAACAATTGTATTACTTTAATTATGAGTCTTTACCTGACTTGTTCAACTTGGTTGCAATAGGATCTTGCTATATAGTCCAGGCTGGCCTTGAACTCATTATGTTGCCAGGCGTGTTTCAAATTCATGGTGATCTCCAGCCTCAGCCTCCAGAGTGCTGGGATTACAGGTGTGCACCACCATATTCTGGCCTTATTATGAATCCTATGACAATGTCTCCATTTACTTTTTCTAAATTTCATGTATATTTGTTTACAAATTTAAACATATTTCACATGTTGCTTTTTCCTTTAGGGTTCTTTCTCCTGTACATGCTTTAATTTAGAAGTATAGTGATGATTTTTCTGTGATAAAGAAACTGAAGGGTCAGCAAGATAGCTCTACAGAGTAAGCACCTGCTTGGGCAAGCGCAGGGATCTGAAGGTTCAATCCTTGGCACTACATGCTGTGCTGATCCTGCCCCAGGGTGCTCTGAGCCCAGCCACTTAGACTGGCATGGTGGTACACACCTATAATCCCAGCACTAAGGAAGCTGAAAGCAGGAGGATCACTCTGAGCTGGGTAGTAAGACCTGTGCCAGTTTCATTTTTAAAATGAAAAAAGAAAACAAACTGATCCTTACAATTTAAGGACTAAACATTAATGGATAACTTTTTATCCCTCAATTTGAGATTAAGTCACTTGTGGGAAGAGAGGAAGGATGTCCTTGTAGCCCTGGCTGGTTTTGAACTCACATTACCACCATGCGTGGCTTTATTTTTTTATTTTTTATTTTTTGACGGAACTAGGGATTCAACTCAGACCCTTGTGCTTGCCAGAGAAGCACTTACTGTACTACTGAGCCATCTTCCCGGCCCCATGCTTGGCTTTAAATCACATTGTTGGGCTGAGGAGATAGCTCAGTAGAATAAGCAGTTACCTGGCAAGCACAGGGTCCTGAGCTCAATCGCTGGTACCA